AATATCTAAAAAAGGTTCTAAAGTGCTAGATTAGTTTCTTTTAACTTATAATAAGTTATAATAGGCCTTAATATAAAGTTACACACTTTATTACTACTACTACTTATATATAATAAGCCTTAGTAGTTATAAACTTTAAGTAATACTTTAAAACTTAAGTTATAATTAATGCTTATAAAAATAAAAATTTAAAAGCATATAAATAGTTTACTAACTTTTATAGTTAAAGTGTTTAAAAAAGTTTTAAAGAAGGTAGTAATAATTATATATAAGCTAGTATTAGTGTAATAAAAAATTACTAAGCTTTAAGCAGCTAATAAGGCTACTACATAACATAAATTATATAAAAAAAAAGTAAATTAAAGTAGAAAAAACTTTAATAATTTTAAAAAGCTTATACTTAATAGCTTTAAAGATGTTTAGAGCGCGTAGTAATAAAAAAAAAGTAAAAAAGCAGGTGTAAGCTAAAGTAGGTAAGCTATTCTAAAGGCGCTACAGACAGTGCAATTAGACTAGGCATAATGCGTAAACATGTAAGCAAGAAGCAGAAGTAGTATCTAAATAATATTCTAGGCTGTACTATACTATATAGTGCTAGAGCAGGTTGTTATAGGCTATAATAGAGTTTGTTAGGGTAGGGTCTTGGCAAAAGTAAGCGACTTAGGTGTGTAAGCAACTCGCCTGTGAAGTACGTTAACTTTATTATAAGCATATTATGTAATTTACACTAGAGATATGTGTAAGAACAGAGCTCTGTACCACTACGCTAATACATCTAAAAAGGTGCGAATAATCAACTAACGTTAATTTTTGCGTACAGAATAGTATATATACCTGTCGCACGTAAGCACCATCTCAGCCTTACACGTAAGCGCCATCCTGGCCTTACATTATCCCCCTTCTTAGCAGACGCATGTCCCAGGCGTCACATGACCTACCCGCAGCTCAGAGGCGCCTATGCGCATGTCTCGGTTACCGGCCAGAGGCGCGGGATAAACACAACGCAACGCTCAGTGGCCACGCCAGCTAAGCTATACACACTAGACCTCCCAGCAGCTACAACGTGGCGCTAGAAGAGGCCGCCTCACGTTTTAGTCTAAAAACTGGCAAAGCTGTCTAAGGTGTAGGTTAAACGCGCGACTGTCCTTATTATTAGTTAATTATTATATAAGGACAAAGCTCTATACCACTACGCTAATATAACTAAAAAGGTGCAAATAATTAACTAACGTTAATTATTGCGTACAGAATAGTATATATACCCGTCGCACGTAAGCACCATCTCGGCCTTACACGTAAGCGCCATCCCGGCCTTA